AAACTCAAGAGAGACCACAGATGTAGAAACCTTCCTTTATTTTCCTCTAAGCCTTGTCTAATGTGGGGTTTGGATGACCTGTATACTCGTCCAGCTCAGCAGCCGAAGCGCCTGCTGTGCAGGATAGCTGGGTGCAGGCAAGGGGAAGGTCTCTGCGCATAGCTGTCTGCGAGTGAAGTAGTGTCTCTGCAGGGAGTGCAGATGAACTGAGCTGAGCATGAGTCGAGGCAAAGGCAGCATCCGGGTTGGGTTGAGAAATAAATGGGAAGGCAGGGAGAAGGACAGCATCTCCCAGTGCCACCAAGCCATTAGACCACACGCCTCTGAAAGCTGCCTCATGCAGAGCAGTGACTGGGATTCTGAGTTGCAGACCTGCCTTTGGGTCTTACAAGATGTGTGTTATAGCCTGAGCCTCCACATGCACCATTTCCTTTTGCTACATACATCTAGCACATCTCTATTTTCCTGTGGCAATGCGAGAGAGGAAAGATCCAGGAAAGAAATGCTCTCTCTGCAGATGTAGATCTATCAGGGCCCTCTTTCTGAAGGTGCGATCATTAGGTAGAAGCTTGAGATGATTTCCTAGTCCATGAGCCACACTGCATGCAAGAAATTTTATGCAGGGCATTAAAACTGTATCTAGTCCCCAGGCCCCGAGAAATATGCCATAAGACTTCTCTTATCTGTTAAAATTATTTACTGTGTATAGCTAATGACTGCAGTGGAATTGTATTCACCTGGTTCCGCATACTCCACTCTTCTAAAGATCTGTGGTCAGCCAGCAGATTGTTAAAAGCTATCTACATAAATCTGTTGGGGAAATGAGAAAGGGGCAAAGGCAGATACAGAAAAACAGCTAGACAGAAAAGCTGTGGCACCGACTCCATATAACATAAAGATGTCTTCATGCATCAGCAGGTTTCCTAAATTATAAAAAGCTCATAACAAGGTGACCTACATGCAATCATTAGGGTCATCTCCTTTTGTAGTATTACCAAGATGACATTCACCATACATGTAAATAAATTAATGAAAGAAATGTAAAGCATTGAATTTGATTCAGTATAGCCTCACATTTATCATACTATATATTTCAGTGGTGTGATTCTTTATTCTCTGTTAAATATTATCTCAAATGTGTATCAAACAGATTTCAATGAGTGTTTATTATATTATTAAACAAACTCCAAAACTACTTAATTTTGACTGTTTGATACAATCAAATAAAAACCATCCAGATTAGGACTCTCCAGAGAAGGGACAACTTGTCTTGATATTAAAAAAAAAAAAAACAAAAAAACAAAACCCAACCCTCAAAAAACCCCACAAACAACAAAAACCACACCAACCACCTCACAGTAATTTACTATTATGGCAGCGGTAGAATTTCAGTAAACCCTATTGTTTTACATCCTTGGAACTGTCATATTGATGCTTTCCCCATTAGTCAAGGAGATCAAAGAAACCTGATGTCTCACAAGGGTTTGAACTACAGTGAAGAGAACTCTCAGCTCCTGGTCATTTCTTGAACACTGTCCAAATCAGATGAACAAAATGTTGCTGTTCTTAGACAAGACCTGTGTGAAATGGGACTGATAGTCTCAGGAAATTCAGAATAAAGTAAAGAACCTTTTGTCTTGTATACGAGTTTGACTCATGCCCAGCTCTGCAGTGAATCTCTCAATTGTTCTGCAGGCTTTCATAATTTATTTGGTAGTCTCAGTCCACAGCAGCATGTACTTAGGGTTCAAACCTATTACTATCACTCTATGCAACAGCAAGCAATATCAGTAGAGACCATGAGATAAGCATAGAAATTAAGATGTCCTGTCCTTCCTGAAATGGACTTGAAATGTCAGATATCAGTCAATACAGGGCAGTTCATGCTTTTCAGGTTCTAAACTCTAGCTAGGCAGTGAAGATATTTATCTTCAGTATTGTAATTAATTAAATACATGTTGATTAACAAAACATTATATTGATATTTTAAATTTTATTAAAATCATGTTAGACTTCTTAAAACCATATATATTGATTCATCAAGGTATACGAAATATTTGGGCTGCTCATACCACATTACACCAACAAATTTGATAATTATAATGTCAGAAAAGCACTTGCTAAATGAATTACTTCAACTTTTCATTCCTAAGGCTTCTTGTCTCAGACTGTATATAGTAGATAGTTTTACTCTGAGGTTATCCTAATGTCTCCGATGTCTCCGTGGCTGTTTCAGAAAAAGGCAGCTGAGATTCTCTGATGCAGTGGATAGATAATCCACTGCCTCCTCTACTGCAATCTGGAGCACTTCCCTGTGGGAAGTCCTTGCTGTGTATTGTAACTGTGGGTTTTCTGAACAAATCAGTGTGTCCTGTCTCTTTTTTTATTTTTTTTTTTTCTTAAGACGACACCAAACTGACAGTGCACCATCTGATAACAATCCACACTGGTAAACTTCCAGGGAAAAATTACAGCATGTTTCTCTACTTCTATCATTTTGCTGTTTATATGTTGCAGAGCTCTTATAGCTTACACACAATTCTTGGAAGGCGTTTTTTGTCATCCAAAGATTCTGAAGCTGCAGCAGATCATTCCAGATTCCCATCAGACCTTAATCCTCCCACTCAGTGCTCACAGTACAGGCCCCAAATGGTTGCTTCACATGCATATTTGCTCAGTGAATGCACATGGAAGTGGTCAGCGTCGCTTACTTCCCCTCATATCTCTACAAGTACACTGCAGAATTGTCAATTTTCGTATACTAGAAACAGCTGATCAAAGCAACATGTATATTTCTTGAGGAAAAATGGCAGCAAGATGGGAAAGCAACATGCTAATTAATAACGATAGATTGAAATGTACAGATGTGTAGTGCTAAAATCTCACATTTACCTAAAATTTTATCCTGAACACCATGTAGAAAAACACAGAATACACTGCAAAAATTCCCCTAACAACATTTACCGTATGATGGCATTGGGAGCAACTTGCCAGCAAAACCCAGGTTAGTATGGATGCAGTGACAATGCAAATATAGGAGGACTCTGCCAAAATAGCTAATGTCAGGATCGGTACATTTCCAGAACTTCTGCTAGTGTGCTTTTCTTTTGTCAGTCAGGCCTTAATAGCCTTTCCTTAACCTTATATTGTAAATACCACATGTGGATTGTTAGTTCATACAGTTGGTATGGTGGCATTTAAGTCACTGGGCTTCATGCTGGAAGAATAGGAGCAGGTTAGATAAACACCTATCAGGAATGGCGTGAGTATTCCTGATTTTCTTTGACAGCAAATCCTTTCCATTCCTATTTTATTGATGATTTGGTATAAACCAACAACTTGGCACATCTATCGAACAAATACCTTTCCTATGTCTCAGCTGGAGGTTGCATGAGACTGCTTCCATTTTCTGCACTGTAGACAAAGACTTCATTTAAGATCTACAATAATTTTACGGTAAACCACAAACTAGTACTAAATTTAAAATCTTTGTTTACAGACTGTTGCAAAGTCAGTAGCAATCAAGATCTCCCAGTGGCCAATGTTTGATCCCTTTCAGCTGTCCATCACACAACCAAGTGCTTTCACACTGTGTAAAGACATCGCAAATGTACAGAGGTAAGCAGTAAAGATTCTGCAGCAGACCCTGCTCATGTCAACTGCACAAAGGACATATCTCATTATTCTTATCAAAACTTGCTTTTATATTGCTTTAGACACTGATCTATGTCCTACGGTTACTAAAGGTAAAATCTAGCTAAAAAAGTCCTTTAATTTCATAAACTGTGTGGGAATAATGCACAGTGAGTTCTGTATTGAATACTACTGTATCCAAAATGCTTAATGGGGATGAAGTACCCATGAGAAAGCATGCACACCAGGATCCCATATGATGTCCCCTGTTCTTGATCTGAGCTTTCAAAAGCTTTACATTTTCTGTATTACGTGGCTAATAATTTTGACGTCTGATTAGGAAAGTTTAGTAACTGCATTCAATTGGGTTGGAGATATAGGATCGCATTTCACCTGAGCACGCTGTCATTTGTGTAATTATCTATTCTATATCTATAAACACAAAAATATATGTGCCCCTCCCCATATATGTGGCTAATGTATTTTGACTGAAACAAGACAGATATACAATAAGAAAATTCTCAAGTTCAAATACATTTTGAAATTTGAAAAATTATCATACAATGCTGATTTTAAAATATTTACTTCTGTCTTGATTTTGGAAACAAGACTGAATCCATTAGTATTTGGACTGGAAAGTGAAGAAACAGTTTCATTAAGGAGACATGTTAGCTCCAACAATGTTTATTGGGGCAAGCCTGCACTCCGGCTGCATATGGCGTACCTTTAAATAGGGCTGTTAAAATACCAAATAAAATGTCAAAGTCTGTCAGGTCTGGAGCTTTTATAAATTGTTTAGACTGAGGATAATTTGAGTTTTGTACATCATGCCTTGCAGATCATGTGGCACAGAGATAGGAAAGGAAAGAAAGGGGGCCAGGGAGAATAACACGGGGCGTTCAGTCTAGTGGAAAGGCACCTCTTGGGTCATCACTCTCCTCACCAGCCGCCTCCCTCTTTCCCCTACATGGCTGCTGTGTGCCTCCCCTCTCTCTGGGTGGTATCCTGTTGTTATGCACGTGACTAAACAACCATATTAAAAAAAAAAAAAAGATTATAAAAGTTCACTTCAAAAGGCTGTGCCAGAGCTACTTGCCAGAGATGTAAGCTCTCTGTGAGATGTTACACGCTTTAACTTCACCTTGGGGTGTAGCACCCTGTGCTGCAAGTACCCACCCCTGCTTCAGTGTACCAATGGCAAGGCCAAGGCCTGGGAGAGCCATCCAGTCTGCCACACCTTCGTGGTTGTCCTCTCGACCCTTGTCCCACCACCCTCCCCAGAGCAGAGTGGTTGAACAACACCTCCCTTCAGCCCCCCCATCTCTGCCGCCCCGGCTCTCCCACCCACGGCGCGGCCCGGACCTCACCTTCAGCTCCCGGGAGGCTACGCGGGCTGCCAGCTCGATGACACAGCCCACCGCCATGCGTGCCGCCCCGGCCGAGTGCAGCTCGTTCCAAACGGTGTCACTGTCCACCTGAGCAAACAGCCAGCCCCGGGAGGAAGGCAGGGGAGAGAGGGAGAGGGAGAGGGAGAAGGAGAGCATGAGAGAAAACAAACCCGTGAGGGAGGGCTGGCAGCGTGACAGCCTGCGTACAATAACATCAGTCTTCCGTCCTGGCCAGCTGAAAGGCCTTCTGGACATGGCTTTGCTTATGCTTTTTCTCTGCACGGGCTTCTCCAATGGAAACACATTCCTGTCATGCCTCGCTGCCATTCCCTGTTTAGATTTCTCATTACAAACAGCATTACGTCGGCCAGGTCAGGCCACCAGATGTCGTGTGCCAGGTCCTCACGCCTGCGGGAGGACAGGGACCTGCCAGTGGCCAGGCAAAGCATCCTGCAGGGATGGCCACCGCTGGCTCCAGTGGCTGTCACGGCCAACCTGTGTCACCGAAACTCACCAGCAGCTCAGGTCATTACCACTTTTGTTAAAAAAAAAAAAATAGCAGTAAGCACTTGTCTTTCGTACTCATGCAGGAGTCATTTTTAAGTTACTGAAATCAGAATGATTAATTCTTTAGATTAATTTCAGTAGTTGCTACAGCCATAGACAGAAAATAAAACTAAATAAAGTGCAACCCTTGCTATATCTCCTGTTTTAACGAACTGGTAACTTCTAGCTGAAAGGCTTTAGGTCTCACACTGTAAAAGATTAATGTGGTTGTTTAATGCAGAGAAAATTATCTTTTGTGCCTTCTAAATGAGCAAGTGTGACACGTGAAACATTACATGAATATTACATGAAATAGAACGATAAGGTATTATGAAGATAAAATATTATAAAAGAAATAAAGATGGCTAAGTAGCACTGCTCTACAGCTTCAATTGGTATGCTAAAATTTTACTTTTGAAATCTATTTTTAGTAACTTTTTATTTGCAGGAACATACCAAAAAATATAGGTGAAATGTTTTATATCTCTTATATGAGATTATGACAAGCAGACATGATGGTGTGAAACAGTTTGAAACAGTCATCCAAAGAGACAGCCAGACTTCCTCGATGCTCCACGGGAAGTGCATTTAATTGTATCATACCATACAAATTTATCATGAAAAGAAAAATGTTTAGGGATAGACAAAATACTGTGGCAGATGCTGTTTGGATCATTTCCAAGCACACTGAGACATGTTTTCAGTTTGAACCAGAAGCTTCTGTTCCTAATTTCTTTAAAAAAAGGGGGAGAAAGAAAAAAAGAAGGAAAGAAAGAAATCACATAATTGAAAATAGATGCAACTGCTACTCGAATCTGGAGGTTCTGAGGAGTTTCTCTGATTAGTCATTTGAAACAGAAAGAAGCTTGATCTTCTCTACACCTGTCAAATGCCTTTGCCATTACTGTTAGAATAATATTGTATTTCAAGCTACTAAAGTAATCTTATTTTTCAGTGTACTGGACCTGAGTTTTCTATAGTTTCAATTGGTTTTGTGTGCATGCAGCAGAACTAATGAAAATAATTCACTTTCACAGTAGACCTCAATAAGACGACTGGATTTTGCTTGCAAAGTTTAGAATAACAGTAATAACAGCAGACAGTGTTCTCGTCTGAGAAACTCAAAATGTTGTACAAACACAATTAAGCAGCATCAGCTAGATTTGGGATGATTTGTTATATTTGTTTGGCACATTGGTAGCTTGCGATTTAAAGAAATTAAGTGGCTTTCCAAAAGATGTACACAAATCAATAGGTAACTCAGAAAATTACAAGAAGAAAGAAACTGAGTAGTAAAAATAATAATGATGTATTTAGAATTACGCAGTCCTTCAGGTTGTCTCTGTATTGCTTTAAAGCAACTGTGAATAAATTTTCATTTTTAAAACAAATGCGGAGATAAGTAAGTAGAGGTCATTGGTTAAATCAATTTAATCAAACCATAATAAAGTTTGAAAAATAATGTGCAGTAATTTAAATTTAAAAGTATCAGCAAGAGGGCTGGTAGGGAGTACTTTCTTACCATTTTTATGGCTAGCAAATTAAGGTTAACATGAAGGAGTGGCTGATGAAAATAATTCAATGGCAGCTGCTCGGTACACCAGGGCACGATCAGGAGCCTGCATCCTCCAAGGGACTATGATTCATTTCCAGGAAGGCCGATTAAGTTAAAATTGTAACCACAGTTGAGAGTACCCACACCAAGACAGTTGTCTGTTCCGACACATGAGACGGCAGTCTCTCCAAACGCCGAACGCTGAGAATATGGCATTTATCATTTTCTGTTTTCAGCTGGTTATAAACTTGCATCCCATGAAGAACAACCTAAAAAAACCTTTGATCCTACAGCCAACACTTTAGCTGTAATGACTGGAAAATGCCATCACATCCCATTTTATATCTATGTAGTGCTATGTATTGCCTTAAATATTTCAGGTGTTTAAACAGAGATTTTATTTTAGTGTTATTCAATGTTTACTTTGTAAATTACTGTTGAAATACAGTTATATAAATGTTAAACCCACTAAAACTACAGCTACTAGCTGGCCCAGTTGTCGTGCTTTATAGAAAATGCAGCTATGTAAAATCCTTCTAGATATGCTATTCTTTATCCATGTGTGATGAAATGGTTGGATTTTATACAAGTAAAGGGAATAAGATTAGATGCTGGTTTGTGGTTCTAGTTCATGTATATATCACATACATCTGATAGGCTATCTGGATGCTAAGTATGCATGAATTTGTGACAAACATGATGCTTTCTGAAACAGACTATGAAAAAATCAGATGGAATTTTATATGAGGTTATTTTTGTTCTGCAAGTGCTTTGGAACAGCCAAAGAATTCAGTAAAAACCGTATCTTGATGAGGAATTTTTTCAGAAAATGTTAAACAAAATTTACAGAAAATGCAGCATTTGTAGCTTAATTCTAACACAGAATCTTATCCACCCCCCCCCACCTCTCCCCTTTCCTCCCCATTTGTTTGTGGGGTCTTTTTTGCTTAATTATATATATTAAATTAATTTAAATTTTCTTTTAAAAAGTTGTCAGGATAGGGAAATATTCTGAATGTCTAACCAAATGAAAAAGAACATTTTTCTAAAGCATCAAAATGTGAGTGTTAAACTATGGGCATAGTACACATTTCGTTACCAAAAAATCTATCACTACTGTAGCTTTTCAAAGAAGGATTGTGCATGATAGCGTCAAGAGCCAAAAACACGAGCCCTATCTGAACACTGACTTTCTAACACACATATGGATTTACTTCACTCCGAGTTTCCTGAACGAGCACTGTAAGTTGTAGGCTTTTTCAAGTACATCTAGTATAGCTCAATCATTGGCATGTGTAGCAAAGCTAATACTCTGTAAAGCTACAGATGATAGAAATTAGGCTACCTGTCCCTGAAGTGGATGTGGAGGCATTAAAGAGGAAGGGAATGACTGAAGGGAAAAGAAATGTAGGTAACTTCCTGACCGAATGCAACGGTTTCAAGCCCTGTGTGCAGAAACTCCCTGCTTTTCACTGCAAAAAGAACTTGGTATGAACACTTCCTGCAAGAAATATCTATTTGATAACTTGTCTTTCACAATGAAGACCTTAAGCATACTGAAAACAAGCTAAGAATCTAGAAGCGTGGCAGGAAAGACATAAACCCCTATACCATGCTCAGGTTGTGGCATGTGTATGTGAAGGTGGAGAGGAAGGATATGGAAACAGCTGAGAGAGATATTGTTTACTTAAAGGCCTTTCTGAAATCACTGCAGTTGCTGAAACTGTAAATGTTACTTATTCTGCTATTTACATTTATCTGGAAGCTATCTCAAAGTGGCAAAAAAGTGGCATGAATAATAAAGAATTTTTAAAAAATATTTATAACTGCCTTTTGTTTTACCTGCCCCTGCCCCTGCTAGAGAATCTCTTCACTCAGGATCCTCTGTTTCGGTCCTCCTTACCCTGGAAATGTCCTGGGATCTGCCTAATGGTCACTGGATCACAGTTCTGCTGACCAGAGATGCTACTCGCAGTCTGACACACTGTTCCATTTTTCACATCTTACATGGTGTATTCATCTGTGGGACTTATTTCTCTATCTTAAATACTTACTGTAAACTTTGAAGTTGCCTTAAATATACATCCAAGAATAACTATATGACAGTATAAAAGAGAACCCAAGTTACTACTTTAGGATGGATTCTGACAAAGTATACTAGGGCTTGCCCTCTCTCTCTCTCACATACACACACAGTTTGCGATTTAACATAAATCCAGCTTCTGCAGTGGAATTCCAGTTTCAGTCCTAAAAAGAATTAAAAATTAATTTCTCATCCTGCTCTGAATTCTCTGCATAATGGTTGCCATCAGAAAAATCAAAACCAGTCCTCCTAGACTTACCACTGTCTCTAGCAGAGATGCCCTATTTATTCTTTGAGAATAGTTCAGAAATGCAACCTGTCATCTACCTGTTCATGGAAATTTTTGACCTGTCATGATCCTTTGATAGCAGTTATTGTTTTCGCTGTGTCCAGTATCCTGAACAACAAGATAAAAACTAGCAGTTCTTTACAGTAGTTTAAACGCATTCTTTGCCCTTTCTTTAAAGAGCAGAGGTTGGGCTCAACTGCTCTTTGGTGGCAGTTAATCCAGCATGCATTTCAGGTGGATATATTTCAACACAAATCTGGAAAAACTAGTACATAAAAAAAATATTGTCCTTGGATATAAGTGGTTATAAAACTGACAAGTAAATAAAATCTAGTCAGCTAACAGAAGTATAGCTACATGCAGTAAACAAGCTGATTAAGAAATCTGTGAGAAATAATATAGGCATACAGACCTCCGCAGGGACACTGAAATCTAATGAAATTTGTGTATTGCAGAGCTTCAGCTTTAAAAGCATTCACAAGTCTCACACTCTTCCTCTTATTCCAGAGCAAATATGTTTTCATCATTTTTTTTTAGTTCCCTGGCATGAAAATAGAAATTAAATATTTTCCTTAAGTGTTGCAACCTCTAAAAATTATGTGTGGCATTTTGCT